CGAACTTTTTTACTTATTTTTATCTGTAGAATATACTGCCGAAGTTTCCGGAATACAATTCGGACCACCCTGTATACAAGGTGGTCCGAACTGTATAACTGTAAGTAAAAAACTTACTGTAGTGTAACAACCCCTCGGATGCGCCTCGAGAGAAGCAATATTTGGGAAATTTGAGGAGAATAGGTTATGTAAATAAAACGCTAAATTTGTAAATAGCCCTACTTATTTTATTAAATGAAATGAAAGGAGTGCCGTACTCTGCCTGGAATTCACATGTAAAAGAGCACGGCAGAGAAAACCATGATCACTATTCCAGAGAATCTAACTATGCTGTCCTGAACTTTAATAAAAGAGAAATAATAATAATATAGAAACTGTCCTCATACATAGGTTTATAGTTTAATACATTCAAAACATGCCACATTTATATCATTCAAAACTGAAGAGTTTTTGGTTAGTTAGCAGGTCGCCGCCTGCAGGTACTAAGGTCCTGGTTTCGGATCTCGAAGCTAAAGTTGGATGTTTGGTGTAAATATCTTAATATTATATTTATTGCTTTTAGTTGCCCTCTGCGAGCTAAGATATTCGCCCAGTCACGGTCGAAAAGTATTAGTACATTCAACAAGGCCCTTGTTCTCACCTCGAATCACAAACATCAGCACGAATGGACAGTAAACGATTGTATTTAGATTACTTTTAAATTGAAATTATTTACAGCACAAATAGATTCCATTAAATACATACACATGTTAAGGTGCGTATTCACTATCCGAACTAACGAACGAATGTTCATTCGTTCGTTCGGTAGTCGTATGGACAGGACCGGATTTTAGAACCAAACGAAAACACCTTAATCCATTCGTTTGCGAACGCCTTTGATGTACCGACTCGAAACGGATGGCCGAGCGAACGAACAAACGAACGACCAAATATACCGAATTCCATTCGTTCGCTCGCTCGTTCGTTCGTTCGTTCGGATAATGAATACGCACCTTTATATGATATAATTCTCAGATGAAATAAACACGGAATAACATCTTTGTCACAAAACTGAAGAACCAAAAATAACATCAATGCGTCTCAAATGGTAGTCTCAAAGCTACTCCTCTACAACTATTTTCTCTGGTCGTCGCCTAATTTCCCCCTCCCTACTTTTGCGAATCATATTTGAAAAATCAATAATTTTATTTCTGTATACAGAGTGTCTTAAAAAATGAATGTTTTGAATTTAATGAAATATGTCTATTTTTGAATAGGCGGTTCATCTCATTACTTAAGTTTTTTACTTACACTTTTTTATTCTAGGAACAACAGATGCTCGACGGACTATTGCCGAACCCTGTATAAGGGAAAAGTTAAAAAAATATATATAGTATTCCGTTTAAAAATATAAAACTTTGGTTTGTAAATATGTTGGGATCACCCTGTATATATATATATATATATATATATATATATATATATATATATATATATATATATATATATATATATAGAAAATCTGGGATTTAGTGGGGTTGCAGTCGGAACTAAATCCCACTAAATCCCAGATTTTCTTTCTCACTAGTCAGTCGAGACTACTTTCTGCCTATATATATATATATATATATATATATATATATATATATATATATATATATATATATATATATATATATATATATATACTCAAAAACTCACTTTCGCCTTAAAAGCAATAAAATAAAAATAAAAGTTAATTAAAATTATAAATTTCTGTATGGCCCTATACTATGTATTATTCAAAATAGTAGCACATAATATACCTAAAATATTTTTAGGTATACCTAATAATAATTTTGTTCGGTATAAAATCACGTACCTATCATGTGCCTATATTTATGACTCAACTCTATATGTATTTGTTTTGGACTGTTTAGACTAATCAGTCTCAATGGCGCATCTAGAGAATGAGTCTGGGTGGGGTAATGGCAATATTTAAGTAAAGTACTAAAATTATATTAAATTTTGCCTGAAGGGTATTGTGACTGCGGAAAAAAATAAACTTGGATTGGTCTGGCTTTTCTATTTTAATTGATAGCCACATATTATCTTATTTAAAAATTTCTTTTTAGGAGGGGTAATTATTTAGCTTCACTAACAGTGGCGTAGCAATCATAGGGCAGTCCGGTGCAAAGCACCGTGGTCCCACAGGAACATGGGACCCCGCAGAGCCTTTCAAAAATATATTTAATAAAAAATATACATTATTTTGGTTTTGTTCTTTACTCCGAGGCCCCCAAAATATGTTGCACCGAGGCCCCCAGTTGTCAAGTTACGCCACTGTTCACTAATCAATAATTTATAAAATGAAAACAAAAGAAAGCCAAATAAATAAACTTAGTAAAATAACTTGACCTGCAATGTAAAATAATTTAATAATAATAATATAACTATAAACCACTGATCTAAAAATATCAGAATAAAAATCCGATATACATATTCTGAGCTTCATAAACAATAGCTATTTTTAGAATGGAAAACTAATGAAGCTCTTGAATGAATTATGTAAAAATATAAATTTTATTTAATAACAATAAGTATGCACGTACAATAATAAAATCAACATATAACTGTTCTAGGCGTAATTTATAATACTTAGATAATAAGATGGGCGTACAATTGAAATAACTTAAAGCTGTAAAAATAACACGCTTGGGAGGAACGAGAATATAGTTATGTATAATTATTTTTATTATAAATATTAAAACAAGTAATAAGCACGTAATTTTACAATAAAATTAATATAATATGTCTCTACAGGGTGTTCCAGTGCATTTGATTTGATTTTTTTTAAATTGGATTTTTTTAGATAAAAACATATTTTCTTGATAATTTGGCAACAAAGGTAGTAATTAAATTTACAAGAAAGAAAACCCAGAAAAGATCCAGTGGTTCTCTAAATTTAAGCAAAATATGATTTTTTTGAAATTTTCAAAGTAAAATAACTCGTATATATATAACGTTATTTTGGACATATTTCTAAAACGGTTTCTTTTGTCGAGATCCTACCAGCCCTGAAAATATTGGCACTTATTAAAGACACACCCTGTATATACATACCGGATGCGACTCAAAAGTTTTATTTTTCCAGATAAAAAACGAGATTTGGTACGTTAGTATATGACATAAATTAGTATTGATTGACGTATTCAATTGTTTTCGGTCATTTCCTGTTTCACCGGAAATTACTACAACTTTTGTTTTTTTAAATGGCACTCTGGTATTTTTTTACTTTATTCGATAGAAAATGGCACTCTGAATAGAATGATATATTAAATGTCAACTTTTGACATTCTCGCTTAAAAAATCGTATTTTAAATTTTAATCTAGAGTGCCATGGGTGTGTTAAAAACACTAATTTTTAATCAAGGAACGTTGCAAAAATACATTTGATCGTCTAATATTTTTCGTGTCTTGTCCTCGCCGGTTAAAACATGTCCAAATCGTATTTTTAATCATATCTCATTTTTCTTTCAAATGGAACGAGGGTGTCTCATTAGCATATTTGGAAAAAAACATTTTTTACGAATAATTTGATGCCACAGACTTGGTACCGCATGATCGAAGTGTCCCGTTGGCTTAGAAATGAACATCGATGACATTCCCCATGTAATTTTACGCCGTTTTTTTTACGATCATATGGTATTTCGAGTCAAATTGTCGTTACTTTTATAGCCACTGTGGCACTCTAAATTAAAATTTAAAATGCAATTTTTTTTAATCGAAAATGTCAAACGTGGAAATACGCTATGTCATTCTATTCAGAATGTCATTTTCTATCAAATGAAGTAAAAAATACCAAGGGTGTCATTTAAAAATAAAAAGTTGTAGTAATTTCTAGTGAAACAAGATGTGACCGAAAAGAATTGAATACGCCAATCAATACTTATTTATGTCATATACTAACATACCAAATCTCGTTTTTTTATTTGAAAAAATAAAAAAGTTATAGAGGTGACCCACATTAAGGTACGGTATATTAAAACAAAAAAAACCATATAGATTAACAAAAAACTATTATAAAAAACTTTATCCACGCCTCGTCTATAATTTGATTATTATACATGACTTTATGAAATAATAATAATATGCATTATTCACTAGTGAATAATGGTTTCATTATTCACCACTTCCACGGATATCTCGATCCAAACTCCAAACAAGAGCTATTTCAAGTTTTTAATGTCACTTTTTGCATTCATCTATGGGGTGTTCCAAAAGTTGTTTTTCTTGTCATAAGATTTTTAAAATATTTTTTCTTTTTTAAAAATGTCCCATGTTATATCTCGACATGTAAACAAATTATTAAACACCATTACGAAGAAACAATGTTAAAATTCTCTCATTTTCTACTCTAAACTATCTACTCTATCTCATCTACGGGGGGTTTCAAAAGTTTTTTTTTTAAAATAAAAACTTATATTAATATTATCTAATTTTTTTTGATAGTCCTGGATAAAGTATAGTACCGTATGATCGAAAAAAAACGGCGTCCACTTGGCTGGGAAATAACGATCAATGACATTTCCCATATAAATTTACATATAAAATGACAGCGATCTTCATTTCATAGCCAACGCTGACGCCGTTTTTTCTCGATCATACAGTATTATTCTACTCGCATATAATGGCTGTTATTCACACTGGACGATTTATGACACGAGCCGCAGGCGAGAAACTTCATTCACGTGAATAACAGCCACCATTATATGCTCGTTGAATAATATACTATTATTGACTATTATTTAAACTATTGATCAACAAACTAACAGGTAGAACAAAACTAGCCATACCCATAACAAAAATTTATTTTTTAATTAAGATTTAGTTAATAAAAATATTTATGTTAAGGAAGAATTAATTTAACGAAAATATGGGGAAACACCTGCGGAGCATATCGGCAACGCCGCGTTGATTTTAAGAGGAACGGCCATAGAGGGGGAATATAAACACACTCCATTTGTTTATGTGTATTTTCTTTCAGTAAATCGCCCGTCACAGACTTTATTCGTAGCCGTACTCTAGTCTAGCGAGAGAATTTTTATCGAAAAGTCCGCTTTTAAAAAAGAATAGATGTAAATCAACAAGCTAATATTATTTTTTCTGGAAAATAATAGTGTGACAAGCTATTTTCTCATCATGACATCGAATAATAACCTCACAACCCTGCCTAGACAATCATGGGTCGACATAGAATTTCAAGATTTGACCTATTCAGTACCCCAAGGAAGAAAAGGTAATGTTTTTATATAGAATGTTTACTTTTTTATGCCTAGAATATCCTTGCTCTACTTGCTAACATAGTATGCTATGCCGATAATACAACAATAAACGATATGAAAATCAGTAGGAATTATGTCTCTAGGTGACCTGGGTGTTCTAAATTCTTTGGTTTTATCTTGCATTGTTATTAATTAAATAACTATTTTATTGAATCAAACAAAGAATTTGGTACGATGATATTCTAGATCCAAAACTGTTTGTAATATTGTAGTAATAGGTATATTTTTAGATTTTTTTTTCGTTTTTAATTACCTACTCATTGTTTCAAAAACACAATGCTCTAGTAAGTTAACTGAACTCTATTAACCTATGATGAATAAATAATTATTAGTGTTATATATTTGTTGAACTCTTTGAAAGTGTAGGTATTTTCATATAACAATATTTACCTATCTAATTTTGAAAGAAAAGAAATATGTGAATATAACAATAATTAATTATTTATAACTTATGTATGTGCTATATTTTGGTTCTTATAAAAATGATCCATTTTGTTATACAGGGTGAGTCTTAACCAAACCAAACCAAACTAAATAGGTGCAAATATATTTAGGGGTATATTTTTGAACCCCAAAAACACATCTAAGAGCGATTGCGATTTTGTTTTGAAAATTTGGAATTTTTTGGATTTTTTTAACTTTAGTTAAAAACCATAGTAGGTATCTTCATAATATGGCAACATCGGTAGTAGATTAAATTTACAAGAAAGAAAACCCAGAAAAGAGTCAGCGGTTCTCAAAATTTAAGCGAAAAATATATTTTTTTTTTATTTTCAATGTAAAATATCTCGGTTATTTTGAACTTATATGAAAAACGGTAAAAAGAAAATATATTTCTTTTATCGAGATCTACCGACCCTGGAAATATTTGCATTTATTAAAGCCTCACCCTGTATAGAGGATGTAAATTATAAAATTGTGTTTTACTTTAATGTAAATTTGAATAAGGACATTCCTACAGGAAAATTAAGTCATGTATATTCCTCTTTATAATAGTAATAATCATCTTTATTTCATATTGTGTATACAATATACAGGGTGGCTCAAATTTTAATCGGGAAAATTTAGTAGACGATAGAACTTGCAAAAATAAAACAAAAAGTTCATATCAACTTGTAAGATTTAAAACTTCCTTTTCGACATACAGGGTGTTAAAGTTACTTAAAAGAGAAAAAAAAATTAAGATATTTGAAAAACTATTTAATCGATTTTGATATAACTTGACCCGTTTATAATACTTACTATGGGACTTAATTTGCTGTAATTAGATTTAAGATTAATGGCCAGTGGCGGCGGTGGGGCATCACTGTTAAATTATTTTAAAGGAGAAAATACGCACGCCACTGCTTTTTTAGAACTTTAATATTATTTTTGGATTTAGTAATTAAAAATATTATTTTTTTGCCTCCTGACTTTTTTATCTGTCTTGCTTACTTCTTGCGAAAAAAAAATAAATTCTAATTGGTAATTAATATTATAATTGGTATTTTCTAATGGTACCTTGTATCTCGAAAAGGAAGCTTTAAATCTTACAAGTTGATATGAACTTTTTGTTTTATTTTTGCAAGTTCTATCGTCTATTAAATTTTCCCGATTAAAATCTTGTATATACATGACACCCTGTATATACATGTATACCATGCAACACCTGTTAATAACTTTTTTAACAACCTAACCCAATCTTCGACAACGCCTACGATACTGGACTTCCTCGCTCTAATGGACCACACTGTATCTCGTTTGAAAGGCCTGTTTTTTAGCAATGATATGGGTAATGTAATCACATTACGCAAATTAAAACTGTTGTTCTATATACTTTATCAATACTAAGAAAAAACTGTGAATACTAGACTAGACAAAGATATAAATAGATGTTCATTAAAACCGATATTAGAATTGTGTTATTTCCGAAATACACAATCACAAACCATTGTTATTGCAAAAATGAAACTAGTGTAGTAGTAGTAATAGTAAAAACTATTGTACGCAAAGTTCCAACCCCAATTACTGCATCTGTGTACCTATTTCAATAAAATATGTTTTTATAAGTTCCAAAATGGTGATATATTGTGAAACGGGAAGTTTTCCATCACTTCCAACAAAATAAAATTCCTTTTAGCACATAATATCATACAATATTTTTTCTACAAACGATAATAAAAGTGTAAATAAAGATATTTTTAACTTTATAAATTGATAAAATTACATTCGAGTTTATAATTTTTAATAATCTACTTCTGAAATTGCTATGATAACATCAAAAAACGAAAAATCTTCGAGTGTCTTACCGTTCAATGATTTCCATTTTAACTTACAGTTAAGGCACGTTAAGGTGCGTCCTCATTGCTCGTGATCCTGCTCGCGCTCTTGCTTCTGATTGTGCTTGCGGTGTTTGCGCTTCATGTTTGTCGTGTTTCTCAAGATCTTTCGGCTCGCAAGCAACGGGGTCCACATTGTAATGTAGTGCTTGCGTTCGTGCTGTTCGGACATGGATGATACCGAAGTATTATTAATAGCACCTGCTAGTTGCGATCATTATTGAAAAACGAAGGAGACAAAGAGAAAAAAGGCGTGTTGGATGTATAATAATTTCAAAAGTAGATCCCAGCTCAGTGAAAGTAAACTTCAACACGATTTACAGACAGAATGTTTTTTAGTAATTTTTATCGCATGTCCGCTACTGATTTTAAAAGACTTATTAACTTAGTTGGCCCCCGTAAAGAAAGAAAAAATACAACATTTAGGAAGTGTATTCAGGTTAAAGGAAGAGTTAAAGAAAGATTGGCCATAACATTAAGATTCTTTGCAACTGGAGACTCACATACCAGCTTGGGTTATTTATTCAAAGTTTCCAAGCAAAGCATTTCAAAAATAGAAAACCCAGCACATTCGTATACATTTCAAAAATAGTACCAGGCGTATCGCAAAATATAAATTAAGTTCTCAAAGATCAGGTTAAGATAAGTAGGCAGTATAAATATAGACTTATATTTTACTAGCGTGTACCAGCGACTTCGTTCGCGTCGAATTAATCATTTGTAAAGGTGATAATAAGGCAAAGCAAGAATTTCCATTAACACACAAACTGGATAAAATTTTCACACATTTATGTCAGCATGAGAAAAAACAATATGGCGATATTATTATATAACTTGGTAATATTTGAGGGGTCGTTTCATCTCGTTGGAATTTGACTTTCGCAAAATCCGTTTGCCAAAAATAAGCTTTTTGCGTCAAGCAGTTTAAGCAGAATCGTGGTTAAGAAATTACCTAACTTTTTGGAACACCCTGTATGATTTTTTAAAAAATTTCAAAATATGTAAAAAACCAAATAAATATGCTGGTCCAAGCGTTTTCCCGAAAGACTTACCGTTTTTTAAATAACAAATGTTGTAATATTTGAGGGGCGTTTTCACCCTCTTGGAATTTGAGATTCGAGAAACCCCTCCTTATCGAACCTCTACACCCCACAGTCAATCCGTTTGCCAAAAATCAGCTTTAAACGTCAAGCAGTTTAAGCAGAATTGAGATTACTCAATGATCATATTTTATGAAACACCCTGTATAAATTTATAAAAAATCTTAAAATATATAAAACAACAAAATAAAATATCCGTTTTTAAGAGTTTTTCCGAAAAACTCACCGGTTTTTAAATAAAAAATATTTTAATATTTGAGGGATAGTTTCACCCCTTAGATTTCGAGTTTTGAAAAATCCCTTCTTATCGAACCTCTACACCCTAAAGTCAATCTGTTTTCCAAAAATCAGCTTTTTACGTCAAGCGCTTTAAGCAGGATCGTGATTAATCAATGACCAGATTTTTCGAAACACCCTGTATACATTTTTAAAAAATCTTAAAATATGTAAAAAACAAAATAAAGTATACGTGTTTAAGCGTTTTTTCGGAAACTTGACCTTTTTTTAAATAAAAAATATTGTAATATTTGAGGGGTGGTTTCACCCTCTTGCAACTGGAATTTTGAAAAATCCCTTCTTATCGAACATTTACGCCCTAGAATCAACCTGTATGCCAAAATTGAGCTTCTTACGTTGAGTGGTTTGAGCAGGATCGTGATTAATCAGTATGTCAGTCACTTACATTATATTAGTATAGATTGAATGTATATTTAATATTATTAATCCAAGAACAAAACACAACTTTTTTTAATGCTGAATAAAAAACTTAAGAAAAATCATGGTGGTATCATACTGCAATAAATACCAAATTTTATGAATGAAACCAAACTAAAAACTAAACAAACAACACAAACAGCTCGAGCACTTCGAACCGCCCGCGCCGTAAAGTATGCTCGCATGGCTCCGACGCGTCTTTTTGATGTACCGCGACAAAGCCGAAACACAGGCATTTTATGTGATAGCAAGCACGTGGAACACCGCGAGAGTTGCGAGCGCCGCGAACATCTCGCTCCGACTGTTTGCTATGTTTTTCCTGTTTCACGTGTTCGTTCGGCCTGCTCGCGAACAATGTGGACGCAGCTTTAGAATCTTCCAGGTTCTTGAGTTCCTCTTTAAATTGGTTTCCACTTGGGAAGCAGAACGATTCTGGTCCAGTTAGTGGAGTGTTCGCTCCTTTTCTAGCGAGATCGTTTGCTTTTTCATTGCCTTCTATCCCTTGGTGGGGTGGCACCCAAAATAGGAGGACTTTATTTTCTTTGCCTAATTTGTTCAGCTTCTCTAGGCATTCTTTGACTAGTTATTGCTATTAGTGCTGCTTGACTATCGGATAAGATGACTATTTCCTATTTCCGGTAGTTCCTATTTAAGATAAGTAGTACGCATCTTTTGATAGCGTAGATTTCAACCTGAAGGATGCTGGGGTAGATGCCCATTGGTTCAGAGTATTTAGTTCTGCTTTGATTTTGGAAACGTTACAAAAACGAAACTTGCAGTGTACCGAGCAATAATAATCCCCACCATGTTATATGGAAGCGA